TGTTATGGCAAGATGGCCTCCCTACCATCTCCCACCCAGGTATTTATCTCACTCGATTTCGCCGGGTTTATGGCGTCGTATAAGAAAAGAGAGCGTGCAGGAATTTAGAATATAGTCTCAAGTGTCGTAAGGAGGAGAAAAATGGTAGATAAGTATGTCCAAACGCTCGGAAATAGCTTCTAGAGAAGGGACCCGCCTCCCTGTTTGGGTCGATGGACGAGAAGTGTTCAGCGAGATTTTCATGTTTTGTCTTTTATTCGGTTATTTAATCCTCCTCCGGAACCAAATTTCGTCGTAATTAACCCAGACGACGGCGTTAGACTGGAAATAGATGTGGTAGTAGGTGTTAGAGCGAGCCATTCAAGGGAGAGAAGTGTCGGGGGAAGGAAGTGCCAAGTTCTATGTTGATTTGAATGTCAGGAAGGCCTTTTTCTCGTGAGATTTTGATTTAATTTTTTGGCTTAATGGGGTTATTTTTTGTAATTAGGTCGGTTCTGTGGCCAAGACGTGGGGGGATCGGTCTGTGAGTACTTTTTTTGTGTGTGTGTTTCTGTGAGTACTTTTTTTTTGTGTGTGTTTCTGTGAGTATTTTTTTTTGTGTATTTCTGTGAGTCCTTTTTTATGTGGTTCTGCTTTTTTATGGATATCTTTTTTTTTTGGAGTTTTGGATTTTTTTTTTTTTTTTATTCTTTCCATGTTAAAGATTTGCTTCAACAGGAAGAACAAATATCTTTATGAGTATCGATATATTACTACATATTTTGCCGTCAAGAAGAGTATTTCATTTATTACGTGCTGTGAGTTAATTAATCTTCATTAATTTTTATTTTATGGTGAAAGAATATTCTTGTTTTAATTAGTTTAATTAACAGTTGTAGTGAAGTATAATGAATGTAGTTTTGAAAAGAATTGTTTGAAGTTTGATGTTCAGCATTGTCAGGGATTTGAAGGGGAGAGAGCAATTGATATTAATGATAGAAGAAGGGGAGGAAGATTCAAGGGAATTCAAGTTCTCTTTCTTTCATTTCCAAGTCTGTATTTGTATTATTCTGGGGAGGATGCTAATTCTGATTTTGTTTTCATTTAGCTTAAAGGAAAAATGCATTTGGATCGTCTTTTTATTTTATACTTTTCATGTGAAAGGTTATGTAGAAAGAGAGAATATAATTTGGTGTTGTATAGATTTGGTCACAGTGAATAGTTCTGTAGTTCATTTGGCAGCTTTTTGTTTTGTAGAGAATAGACTGAATTATAATGATTGATTATAGTAAAAAAAGAAAAAAAAAAATTCTATGATTTGTCTGGATCATCTTTTCATAGTACAATTGGTAAATGTTTTGCAGAAAACTGAAGTAGTTTTCAAAATAACTCTTTGATGATATTAGCTGTGTTCTGTTCTGAAATCCATTCGCAACTTTCCATGATCTGTAGTAGAAAGCCCACCGTAAAGTGCAGCACAGTAGCGTTGTAGAGTTAAACAATATCCAAAATCATCTGGACAGTGAACCCCTAGCAAACTCCATCGACATATATTTTAGCAATATAGAACTTGGACTAGTGCCTTACTTTAGGATAAGTCACCATAGAGTTCTACAAGCTATTGTCTTTCTATAATAAAAATGGGTAATGGTTTGTGGTTATATTTTTGAGTGCCCGTAAGTATGTAGGTCACGCTGAACAGCTAAAAGCCAGTGATAAGTGCAAGTGATATCTCAAGATGTACTAGATTGATTAGTGAATGTTGTTAAGCATTTGTTATGAGATTTTTAATGATATACCAAGGACAAGCCTGTAATATACTCTAATACTGTAATTTACACAATCTATTTTGAAATGTTTGTTATTTGACTTTCCGTGGGGTTAGTGATGGTGAGGTAGTAAAAAGGAAGAAAGAAAAGAAAAAAGATGTGGGAGAGCATGATCATTTCTGGTATTGCAATTTCTTTTAATCACCACGAAGTAAACTGAAATTCTTGAGAGGAGGTTCCATATCAGTTTTTAGCATTCATTTATGCCATATCTTGTCTAATATCATCTCATGAAACTTTTCTGTAAAAATTAGTGAGTACTATAGGAAAATTGTGATTCCAGGGAAGTGAGGACATTTTTCTTCTTACTTGTCATTATGAATGAAATCTGTGCAAACTATAAGGATCAGTAGGCTCTAATCCTGAGTTTGTTAGGATAACCTATATAAATTAGTGGTAATGGAGATCCATATAGGTTATAGGCATATAGGTTAAGTAGAGAATGCAGTTGGATGTTCAGAAATTACAGCAGTTCAGTTAAGTGCCAAATTTTCTATGTCAGATTTGTGCTATGATTAAGATCCCCTTTTTTTTTTTTATCTTCACTTGACTCAGCCACTGATATAAAGTATATTGCATGTCATCAATCATACCATCAAAAGGGTTATCCCCCCCACCCCCACCCCACCCACACACACACACACACACACACACACACACACACACACACACACACACACACACACACACAC